CAGCGCAGCCTGCGCAAGACCCACTTGTCGTCCTGAGCGCTAATAAACAGAATATTACTACAGCTTTCACTACTGTTGACTGGAAAATGAAGCCAACAAAAGCTGCAGTTCCTCTAACGGCCACTAGAGGCTGGCTCCACAAAGGCATAACTAAGGACGTGGCCGCTTCAGTAGCCAGGCTTCATTCGGCCCGTCTAAGCTCTATCCAGGTTCCACCTACGGGTGACGTAACGGAGACTGCGTCCATTTTTAAATATACAGTTTATGCTGCTGCTGTTGTTGATGCACACAGAGCAGCCAGTTGGTGAGGGTCTTCCGACTCCTTCAGGACGCGTTTCTAGTTGAAATATCCAACTGGGAGCTCGGAAAGTCCAACTTCCCTTTTTGAATGGATCGCACCCAAAGGACCTGAGTGGTACAATGTACGGTTGAAGCATAAACTTGTTGTGAGGGCGAGGAAACCTGCTTTAATGAACTGTAAGGGTTAATGAGGTGGCAGGTATGTAGACATTCAGTAATTTGATCTCTCTATGGTTTTTAAAGGTCCAGTGTGTAGAATTTTGTGGCAACTTGTTGCAGATCACAACTCCCTCGCTTCACACTCCCCTTTCAAGTGTGAATTAGAAACTACTGTGGCCTCAAAAACATGTGAACAACGCGAACACCCCTATCTAAAGCCAGTGTTTGGTTTGTCCCTTCTCTTCTCTTCTTCTGATCTGTATGTATTAGTGCGTATTGTTTATAATGCTTTGGTACACGTGCTAATCTTTTTATTAAAGAGCCATTGATTCATGTCAGCATGAAACCACGCCCAACCAGCTCTGTTCCTGTCGGGGTTTTTGGAGATCATTATTAGTGCGTAGTTTGATGACATCATTTTATTCCCAGCATTGCTCCACCTGACTGGAAGCATAATGACCCCGAGGGATGGAAAACACCTGCGTGGGTGTTACAGGGGCTCCAAGCCTGGTAGCTTTTATGTTTTTCTGAGCTTAAGTTCTTGATGTTTTCTTCTTTTAGCACAAGTGCAGGGCTGTAATTCAATTTAAACACTGGTCCTAATGAATGCAAAGAGCAGGTCTCTAAGGCAACCTGGGGGTTGTAATATAGGAAGGTCGATATCTCCGCATTTGGTTCTGTGAAGAATATTAAATAAGGTAAATTGTCTAATAGAACAATGGACAAGAAAACGCTTAATTTGCTACAAAATAAGCCTATTAAGTCTGTATGATTGTTAAAAATGTTTAAAAATACAGAATACAGACAGAAAATTGTATGAAAAGTTCCTTAAACAGGAAATAATCTGCTCAAAATTCATCCAGATCAGTTCCCTGTTTGGCTTCATTGTACAGGTTTAAATATAATATGAAATAAACATAAAATATGTCACTGAGTCAGTTTATTAAATGATAAAAGGGATGAGAACCACTACTTTAAAAACAAACATATAATGTCCCTTTCCACATTGTCACATAATGACCTCATTCTGAGATACTGTGTCGATATGTGTTTAAATCCCAGCAGTGATATTCTGTTTGTGCTGCTGTTGTTGATGGTGTTAAGGAGATCTCACAACAATAGACCCCTCCCTCTTTTCACCACGAGAGCCTCGGCAGCGATGGTGACACACACACACACACACACACACACACAGCTGAACTCAGAGAGGGGCGGTTAGTCTGGCACTTTGTCAGAGCTCAGCGTGCAGCAGCGGCACACACACACACACACACAAACACTGACACATCGGGTGGACGGAGATGCCCGGCGAGAAAGAGAGAGCGCGTTAGAGGGTGCAGCAGAGACATGCTGAGGAAGCTGGTGTGCAAGAAAATCTGCGCTCGTAAGACTGATGCCTTTTATCTCTCCTCGTTTCCCTCTCTCTGCTCTCTTTCTGTCTTTCTCTTCCTGTGGTTGCTCCGCGTCCTCTGGCTGTCTCTTCCCTCTCTCAACCTGTTGCCTTTTGTTCCTGTCCTCCACTTTGTTTCTGTGTGTTCCTGCCTCTCTGTGATAGATGCAGTGTCATGGTCATGTTACTCTTCGCAGCTGATTGTCGTTCTGTGATTTCTTTTCTCCCCAGTTCTGTCATTTAATACGTCTCCAGCAATGAGAGCAGCTAAAGAGGCGTAGGCTTCGTCCCTAACCTACGGAAACACATTCTTTCTGACAGTCCGGTCGAGGAATTGTTTTTAAATCATTTCTCTACACGTCCTCAAAAACAGGCCAAACATCCCGTTGTGCCTCAGCCGACGGCAGCCACCCACAACCGTCATATCTGCCCCTCCGGGGGGCTAATCCCTCGTGTGAATGGTCACGTTGGGCAGGTGACAGGGGGCCGTGTATCCGTGCGCGGCTGCCAAACCAGATTAAAGTCAGATGGACGGATAGATAAAGGTTGAATGGATACACGCACACGACCTGACAGATTGACTGCGTTGCACTCTCCATTGAGGCAGGCAGAGGTCATACAATGCAGAGATGACTCAGGGACGATTGTTGAGAAGAGAACGATGATGCATTTCAACCTTAACACTAAACAGGAAGTGTTAAAAAACCTCTGAACGATGAGTTAATAATGATTTATTGATGCTTACGGGAAATATCCCTCGCGCAGCCATCGAGCCGTTTGATGGATTCTCCTCTTCTTTTTTTTCTTGCCTCTGTTGTTGTAGATAAGAACTTTGAGGATGAAGACTCTGTGGATGGAGGCCGGTCCTCCTCCTCTTCATCATCCAAAGCGCCCCCCGGTGGCAGGAGGACCGTAGTGAGCTCTGTGAGGAGACCCAGCTCAGCCACCACAGCTAAGGCCACAGGTGAGGCAGTCCACACAGACGCACACAGCTGTAACACCTCCGGGTAAAGTAGCGCCTTACTGCGACTCCTGTACAGTGTGTTTGAATGCAAGCTGCCGTAAGAAGTGTACAATGATCTACTTTTCCTTTTCCTTTCTATGTAACGTTTTTACAACAGTGTGTCTCGGAAATCAATGCAGCAGCAGTAATATGAAACACACAAGCCTTACTCCATTACATAGATTCCCTGCACCAAGATGACCTCTGAAATCTGAATTATTATTATTTTTACTAATATAACTTTCACTACTTAAAGTAATATGTCTGACATGTGTAATAATGTATTGAGCTCTCAATCTATGCCTGTTATTGAAACTCAGTGACAAAACCTAAAATACTTTGTGCATATATGTTATTTTAAAGGTAAAGAAGCAGGCGCCGGTGCTGTTGATGAAGAGGATTTCATTAAAGCCTTTGAAGACGTGCCCTCAGTGCAGGTAAGCAGAGAGAGAGAGAGAGCAGTGAAGACAGGGCAAGGTGTTCAACAAAGGTCAGATGGTGAATTGAAACCAGTCGTACAAACAGCTTTATTCTTATTTCATCTCCCATTTAACATTTAAGACATTTTTGGCATCAATCTTTTCCATTTAGGCTCCGGCAGATTTCCTGTTGGCTAATAACTACTGACTCTAATTATTATCTAACATTGTTATCCGCTGATTTCCAGCAACAGGACTTCAGGCTCCTCGCTGTGACAGCAATTGTCGGGTGTTAATTGATGCTAATGATTGCACGTGCACAGGTGGCACTTATGATGTTAACATGAGCAGCTGACAACACATTTGTGCAGTTTAGAGAGTTTACAGACTAACTCTCCAGTCTCAACCTTTAAAGTGTGTGAAAATAACACTAACATTATCTCTGCGTCCAGATCTACTCTAACAGAGAGTTTGAGGACCAGCTGGCCAAGATCAGAGAAGTGCTGTCTGATGACAAACATGACTGGGAGCACCGAGTGGTGGCGGTAAGACTCACACACACAAACCCACACAGAGTGGAAGTGGATTCATTCAGAGATGAAATACCCATTTATGTGTCTCCTCTGTCTCGTTCTCTCCAGCTGAAGAAGGTCCGTTCTGTCATGCTGGCCGGGGCAGCTGAGTACGAAGGTTTCCCTCAGCAGCTGCGGCTCCTGGAGGCCCCCTTAAAGCTGTCGGCTAAAGACCTGCGCTCACAGGTGGTCCGCGAGGCCTGCATCACTCTGGGGTAAGAGCCGGAGTTGAGGAGGATGTACTGTCCCCGCACTGATTACAGTAAAGTACCACTTCACAGGAGCTTCCCTTACAAATAGGTACAGTCATAACAGTGTATTCTCAGCCTCAGTCATAAAGTGAGGCCACAATAGAGATGTATGTTGTATTATTTAATACTGACAATAACTTTTCATAGTAAATAGGGCAGTTATTAGACAATATTGTCAGATTGTCTTATTGACATTGTGTAAGATTGTGTGAGAAACAAGAGCCTAATATTCAGGTTAAAACTGTGAAAAAAGCTGATAAAATGCTAATCATTTGTCTTTTAATCGGAGAGGCTTGCCAGGATGATCTTAATGGCTCTGATTGGCAGCAGTGACATTAACTCAGACTGATTAGGTTACGCTAGGAAAATAACCCGCTTAAGCTGATGAACGTGAGCCATGAGCCTCGCTCGGGTATGAAAGAAGCAGCGTGCTCCCCACTCGCCCCCCCAAAAACATCCATCCGTCATCCCAATTTTAATCCAACCCTGATGAGGTGGAACAGAGTGGGGATGCACTGAAAGAGCAGTGGGTTGATGAATAGACACAAGCTACATGGATCCTGTCATCGCTTGTAGCAGCTCGCCTTTCAGTCCAGAATACAACAACATTTGGTTTAAAGTTTCTTTAAAAGTTCAGAGATATTTATAGTATATATAGTGTCAAATATTTCCTTTTCTTCTGTCTGTCAGTTTTTCTCTTTTGAACAGTTCTTTCCAAAAACAAAGAACCACCCAACTGTCTTTATAATCTCACATATAAGCTCTTTGAGAGAATGACCCCTCAGTTAAAATGCAGAAAGTAAAATCAACTTGAATACAGGAGCTGTCTGTCTGATGCGGTTTACTGTTGTTTCTTTAACAGACATTTGTCATCATTGCTGGGGAACAAGTTTGACCACGGAGCGGAGAGCATCATGCCCACACTGCTGAACCTCGTGCCCAACAGTGCCAAAGTCATGGCCACCTCCGGAATGGCTGCCATCCGCCTCATCCTCAGGGTAAGGACATCGAGGAGAGAGGCTGTGTTCGCACTGCGAGCCTCTGCGCTCATTTCTGATTAGTTTGTGTGTTCACGTTATTTTTTAAATGTTCCAGTGTGAACTAGTTGCATTCCTGAATGTCAAACGCAGCCCAATGTCCTACGGAATTATGTCGAGACAAATTTTGAATGGTTGCTTTTTGTGAAGAAATGGCTGCTCCTTCTGTACAAGCACAGACCGGTTAGAAGTGTCAACCTGAATACTTGATGAGGTCTCACTGTCTTCCACCATCCTCCGTCTGTAGCGCAGAGGTCACATTGCAAAAGCTCTGTATCTGTATCTGATTGTGGACCACATACGAAAGGGTATGAAGGTCACTTGTGGGCTGGTTTGAGCCACTTTTGTCCGCAGTGTGAACGTAGTCTTCCCTGAGACGTGCTGTCATACATCCCACCTGAGCACAAAAGCATCATCCTGTGAGAATGAGAAGATAAAAGGAATAAAGAAAGCTTTCTTTTTGACTCCGCTGTGTTTACTGTCTCTCTCTTCCAGCACACACACTACCCACGTCTCATCCCCATCATCACCAGTAACTGCACCTCCAAATCAGTAGCAGTCAGACGGTAAGAGGACCTAAACTCTGCTAACACATGAAAATAGTCTGTTCAGGTAGTTTTTAACAGTTATTACAATATATATATATATATATATATATATATGAATAAAGTTCAAGAAGCAGTTCTGTATTTTAAATTCTCCCCTCAAACACAGGCAGGTTATGGTTTTCTTTTATATGACTGATAACTGATATCACGTGTCACATTTTGTATATTTCACACATTAATTATTTATTATTTATAATGCTGCTGACTTCCCCTCATTGAAATGACTGAAGTTACCACACAGGGGTGTAGAAAAGCCACTTAAGTGTTTCCTTTATTGTGATATTTGCTTTAATGCTCTTCGTAACTCTTTCAAGTTATAGTTTTTGTTCCTACGTAAGTATCCAGTATCAGTAGTTCCCAACCTTCTTCCTTAAGGAACACCTTTACTATCATTGAGTAAACTGACATATTTGTTGGATATTTCATATTATATTTAATGATAATTTATTTAATTAATAACAATAGAGAACAGCTGATATACTGTACAATGAACCCAAACAGTGCAAGCGAAAACGATCAATTTGGATGAAATTTGAGCAGATTATTTCCTGTGAATATTGATCACAGATGAGTTTTTCTGATATTTTCAGTAACTTTTTATACAATTATCTGTCTGTATTGTGTATTTTGTCATTTTTAAACAATCATATAGACTATCAAAAGTATCTAAACTTAAAGAAAAAGAACAATTTAATTTAGTTTTCTTCACAGAAATGAACCAAATGCTGAGATGTCGGCCTATTGTGTATATTTTTTTAAGTTTTCTTACACTCCTTAAAATCAAGGAGCCCCCCCCCAGTAGGGAAACAACTGTCCTGTATCATGGTGCATACTTGAGAAACACTTAACTTTATCTCATTTGCAGGCGCTGTTATGAGTTCCTAGACCTGATGTTACAAGAGTGGCACACCAATACACTGGAAAGGTAAGCTGAATCTCCGTTTCCTCCAAAAACCACCAAAACCCAAAAGAAAGTGCGCATGTAGTGAGTGTGTGTGTGTGTGTGTGTGTGTCTGGGCAGGACAAAGTTAGAGTTGCTGCATCGTGTGGGTGTTTTTGTGTGGTGGAGGTAATGAAAAAAAAAAGCCTCTTCTTCTTCCTCCTCTTCCTCCTCCTCTCACACACGATGGCATTTTGAGTTCGCTAACATTTGAGTTCGCTAAGTGTGTTGGCTGGATGCGTCGCTGATGAGGCTCCATTAAATTGATGAGTCCTGAGAGAGAAAGAGAGAGAGAGAGAGAGAGCCGCCATCATCAAGACTTCCAGCGATAAGACGACTTCCCATCTCCGTAACCATGACAACCGCGGCAGAGGCTTTAAAAAGCGCAAGAAAAATCCCAGTGGGTGGCCACATTCCCCGTGGACCACCGGAGGAATGAAACTGGGAGAGACTGAAGAAAGATAGACTGCGTTCAGAGTTTGAGGTCTAAGCTTACAAGCGGGGGGAGTCTAAACTTCCTGGTTTTACTTTGACGTGATCGTGTGTCGTGGGTTAAACCGCTCACCATGTTTCCTTACTACCCCAGACATGTGGCTGTTCTGACTGAGACCATCAAGAAAGGTATACATGATGCAGACTCTGAGGCCAGATCCATCGCAAGAAAGTAAGTGTCATTTA